AACGGGGGCCTGAAGGGGGGGGCCCCTCGCCCTGCCTCGAGCGGCAGCTCGGCCATCTGTAGCTGCTTCCAGGCTGGAGAGTGTGGAGCTGGGAAACCTTCTGCCTCCTGGGACAGCCGACCGACCGGCCTGTTAAACAACAGCTTCACATCCCACTCCAGCCTTATCACTGTATTCTCCAGGCACAAGCATTTGTGTTGTCTTCCCAGCCCGTTCCCAAAAGGCCTTTAACCTGGCGCTCCCCCTGCTAAGGCATGTGGACACACATCCAATGCATGCCGCATCCATTTTTGGATTCTCTTAAGCCTCTTGCCGAGATTTCTTTCTGTTTTCTTTGGCCCCGAAATGATTTCAGGCACGGGAGCCGCAATGGCAGAGCATTAGCAGACAGGAGCTGTGCCTCCACAGCACAGCACGGGAGCTGTGCTTTGCCTGGCTGGAAATTCTCTGCTCAGCCCTGCTCAGGGCACGCAGTGTTTTTAAAAATAGCAGGTTACCCATCTCGGCAAAGCTCCCGGTGGTACAATCCTCTGAGACACAGGACGTGGGGGATCTCTGCAGGGTAACAGGGAAGCTTTAAGAAACTTTCCATCGGCCGCGCCAGCATCAGGAGGGTCCACACCAGCCCCTGAGGCTCCTGGAGCTCAGGCTGCGTTGCGCTGGAACCATCATCCCCTGGGAAAACCCTTCACCTGCCTCAGAGCGCAGCTGACTGAAGGCAGAGAGAGAGGGAACCTGCTAGTCCAACACCAACCCATCCCGTCCGACACAAATCCATCCCAGAATCACAGAATGTCCCTTCCAGCCCCTAACAGTCTGTGATTCTGCTTCCTCTAGCTGGGAGGCAGTTATCGCCAGGGGTTCCTCCGACCCGCCCCCCAGCAGACACACGGGCTTTGCCCCACAGGCACGCCCCAAGCCCCACGCCCACAGACGGAGCCGGCCTCACAGCCGCTCACAGACAGTGCCGGGCTCCTCCAGCGCCAGCGATGGAGCTACGGAGAGAGGACATCGGAGAGGGGACACAGGAGCTCCCCGCATCGTCCCTGCCCCCCCAGCAACTGCAGGGCTTTGCAGGCTTGCTTTAGAGAGCAATAAAGAGAAAAAACCCCAACCCCTTGGTCTCTGTCAGCTTCTGGCAGGATGGCGACCGCAGCAGCCGGCTGCATGCCGGGACTCGGCACCCGAGTGCTCGCGCAGCCAGCTCCCCCTCAGATCC